ATATATATATATATATATATATATATATATATATATATATATATATATACATTCAATACTTTCAGAGAAAATACTTGAAAATGTGAGATAAAGTAAGATATTACATTTCTATAAAATAAATTTTATATTCTACAAATGAATTTTCAAGTATTTTTTCTCAGTCTAACTTGAAGAAAGCACGATCTCTCTGTAAGAGCCTTATTTTTTCTTAGTGTATATGTTTTATGTAGAAACTTTAAATATTTATATTTAAAGACGAAAACAAGAAGAATATTCAAAGAATACAGGAATCCAGGAACTTTTATCTTTACTTTTCCGAATAAAATATGAAATGCGAATAAAAAGCACAGCGTTATCATCACACAACTTCTTCTTTTTACGAATTTTCCTTATCTAATCTGATCTTGAAGTTACTGAAATCGGCTATTTAACATCAAGTTAAATTATCATTACATTTATCGGATAACAATTCGATAAGATGACAGTACATTGTACATCTGCGCGATATGTCCAAACGTCAGCAGGAAGCCCTTACTGATAAATTCGGGGAATATCAAGGTACACGTCGGTCATTCGTCACAGTCGTCTGCGCTTCATTTTGGAGACGAACGAGCATGGTATTACATTCCAATATAATACCTATTCATCCGGCACCAACAATGAAACACTCTTTTTCGCGACGTTGAGGTGTTTTGCTGATATCTCGCTCGGAATATCTTCGTGATTCGTGTATGCAATTGACAGTCTGTCAAGTCAATCGCAAGAAGCAACCGAACGCGAAGTGAATCGGACACATTCGCGAAGCGGAGTTAATCGGACGCGATATTGGCAGCGGTGTAACTATTGCGCTGTAAAAGAGGAAAATTGAGGGTTGAAAAGAAGGGAAATATAGTCATATACAATAACACATTGTAAGACATTTGTCACGGTGAGAGACGTATCAATAATGCAGCCTCGTCTAAAACGGTATCGAGATATATTCATTGAGTCGCGGCAGATAGTGTGACTCCCCCACATTCAGCGTGCCTGAAACTTTCGTCGGGAGGTAGTCGTGTGATTTAAAGATTAGGAAAAGACGTCGTTGGTCTTTAATTAACAAGACTGATTCGCGAACACCCACAGCCATGAAGCGACTGCAAGTGTTCGGTCTTCTGTTCGCGCTGTGTTACGTTGCGAGATTGACGGAGGGGAAACACGAAAAACTCACTTGCTCGTGGTACGGTGAATGCGGGAAATTGGATAATAAAAATGTACAACGTACGTGTGTGTCCAACATCGCCCCCCAGCCGATCAACAACGTGACTGCTGAAAATATCCTGCGGAAAAGATGCCCTCACTTCTTCCATGACGGTTCGTATCTCCCGATTGTTGCATGGCTCACGCGCTTGTTCCCGGTCGTGAGACGGCGAGAGAACCTTCTGACTTTAGCGTAAGTAATTGGAACGCGTGTGTTTCCCGCAGGAGTGCCAAAAACGTGTTGCGACGCCGGACAGATCGCAACGATGAGCACGAGCATGAAACTGGCCGATTCGATTTACGGCAGGTGCCCGACCTGCGTAAGAAATATGTTCCGGCTAATCTGCGATCTGACCTGCAGCCCTGAGCACAGTCGATTCCTGAAGGTGACCAAGACCGGCAAGGATGGCAAACTCGAGTACGTCGAAGAAGTCGAGGTGATCTCATTAAGCGCATTTTGACCCTTTCCTCCTCCGCTCCCCTCGCGACAAACTCAATTGATATCGAGAAACACAGGCAAACTGATGATGATCGATGCGGGAAATCAGTGGTCGTTTGATTTCGCGATAAAAAATTCCAAGTATGCGAATCGATCACGTATGAAGATTGTTTCAATTTTGAATGTTTCTTAGGTTCACGTGACAGAGAAATACATAAACGACACATACGATTCCTGTAAATATGTAGTTAATCCTACCAGCGGAAATCTCGCGATGGACTTGGCCTGCGGCGATAAAGGAGCCAGCAGATGCAGTCCGAAATTGTAAGGATGATAATAATAAAATAATAAAAATAATTACAACAATAAACAGTAATAATAATAATAACACCTAAAAAAATATAATTTTATTCCTTAGCGGAATTACCTAGACAACATAATGTCTAAATTGGGACATAAGACGTTTTAAAGATTATCTTTAAGATGTCTTTCAGACGATTTGCGTATAAATGTCTTTAAGACATCTTAAAGATTATCTTTAAGACGTCTTATGTCCCGACATTATGTTGTCTGGGTATATGACCTTAAAGGAATTCTTCTAAAAAAAAAGGCTTAGAATTTTTTAGATGAACATATAATAAAAATCAGATGTGCGAGAACATACATGGAGCGTTAATTGCATCAAATATTACGATAAATAGATAGATAGATAGATATTGTCACAGAAATCTTATCGTGATTTGTAATTTGCAAAGGTGGTACGAGTATATGGGTGATTTAAAAAACAATCCATTAACGCCTATTCAAATGAACTACATTTACGACGCAGCTGAGGGATGGGACGACGAGCCGTGGGACAACGTGGCCAAGAACTGCAGCGAGGCTTACGACGTAAGTATAAGAGATAGCAAGGAAATAATAATACAGAAATAAAAAAAACAAGACAGGCAATAATATAAAATAATAGTAATAATAGCAATAAAACGGCGCAAAGATCACTCAAATGTACCTCGCCGCATATTCGTAAGTAAATCTCAACATCAACCTTGTCCACGTTCCACCAGAGCTCATCTATCGCCTGCAGCTGCGTCGACTGTCCCACCGCGTGTCCCGTGATAAAATTAGAAATCGACACGAGCTCTACCTTTCTGATCGGCGAGCTTAACGGCTACGGCGTCGTGGCGGCGATCGGGCTGCTCGTGGTGACAATTATCGCCTTCGCCGTTGGCGGCCTCCTAAGGAAATATCGCAAGAAAGGTACAAGCGCTGGCATTCCACTTTGAACTCTATGTTGAACTCCGCTTGACACTCGAGATAATCGGGTAATATCCCGCAAATATGTTGCCACAAGTAGCTGTGCTCGAGTTTTTGTCCATATATGCTTATGCTCGAGTTTTTATCCATATGTCGGATAACTCAAGTTACGCTATGCTGGCTCCTGGCCCCTCGCATTGTCTATCTCTTTTTAATGACGTCAGAAGCGAGAAAATGCATGCTAAAAATTCTTGCGAAATACATTGAAATAAAAATATATACCCATAAAGTAACACTTGCAATCGATTAAACAAATTTGTAAGATATTCTGTGCACTCCCCTTTTGCTCTACCAATCAATAATTTATTGTAAATTAATCTGAATAGAAATAGGCGAAGAAATAGATTAAGAAGATAAATTGTATGTGTATGTCACGTTAATTTACGACAAATTATTGATTGTTAGTGACAATTATTGATTGATATATATCGGTCCGGTACATTGAAATAAAAATATATACCCATAAAGTAACACTTGCAATCGATTAAACAAATTTGTAAGATATTCTGTGCACTCCCCTTTTGCTCTAACAATCAATAATTTATTGTAAATTAATCTGAATAGAAATAGGCGAAGAAATAGATTAAGAAGATAAATTGTATGTGTATGTCACGTTAATTTACGACAAATTATTAATTGTTAGTGACAATTATTGATTGATATATATTTTTATTTTAACGTATTTCGCAAGAATTTTTAGCATGCATTTTCTCGCTTCTGACGTCATTAAAAAAGAGATGGACAATGCAAGGGGCCAAGAGCCTTAATTTCACTTCTGCTGGAGATGCAGTTCGCACGTCTCGACAAGGCGTACCTTCAAAGCGGGAAGCACATACTCTTGCATAAAGCCATAATGCATACGCCTAAGAAAATTGACCAATCAGAATCCTCATTTCTATTGCTACGATGAAAATGAAGGACTCTGGATTGGTCAAGTTTTTTATGCGTTATGCTTTTATGCAAGAGTGTATGGTTCCCGCTTAAGGTTTCTAGTCCCACTGTTACGCAACTATGAACACTGACATATAGCCTTCCTCTTTAATCTGCTTTTTCTTATGATTTTGGCATATTAATTTGCAAGTCGTTATTTACTGTCAAAAGAAAGCAGGGGAAGCATTTTGCAGCAATTTGAAGTGTTCTTTCATATATATCTTCTTCTTCAAAAAAAGCATACAAAAATTTTTCTATGGCATGCTTTTCCTCGCTTCCAACGTTATCAACTCAAGGTTCCACAGCAGGCGGATCAGCGTGCTTATTCTGCAACTTTTAATGATAATATTGTTATCGCTAAATGGCATTGTGCAGCTATTGTATTGTGTGTTATATCTACGTGACGTTACATAGTTATAATACAAGAATTAAGAAATTACAGTAATTAATCTTGCTAAAGCCTTAAATACTTTTATTTGTCCCTAGGTGTTAAGAGGCAAAGGGTAGAGCAGAAAAGAAGAAATTACAGTCAAAGTTGCCAAAAAATTTTCGAGAGATTCTTCTTTGTGTGGGGAAAAGGTAGTTGCGCTTTTTTATAAATATGATATTGTACTCTGACTAAATAACATTCTTTTTTTCATTCGTTTTTTTCTTTTTTAACTTCAAAAGTGATTATTTTCACGTTAATAAAAGGGAATCGATTAATGTCTGTAGTCTAATATGAAGGTGGAATCATTGCTCTCGATAACGTTGATATAAAATAAATGTTGAACAGGATTCGCCACGTATCCCGTTATCGTCCTATTCGTGTCTTCGTACGTCATCGTCGGTCTGAGTTACGGCATAATTTATCTCTCGGTGACGGTAAATCCCATTGAGATTTGGGCGGCACCGAATAGCAGGTCGCGGATAGAAAAGAATTATTACGACTCACGGTTCCAGCCGTTTTATCGAACCGAGCAGATCTACATCAAATCTGTCGGTCTCGAGAAGGTAATAAGATAATGTAAAATTACGAATCAATGGTGCGTCAACGTCAATTACAACGATAACAATTGTGTAAATGTAATATTCAAGAGAAATGATATGTCACTTCTCGCGTTTCACGACAGATAAAGCACAACACTACGACCGGAGTCTTGGAATTCGGGCCCGTGTTCAACAAAGAGTTCCTGCTGGCCGTGTACGACCTGCAGAGTAAGATTCTTCAGGTACGCTGACGCAATCGAGAACGTTGGTCAAGCGCGAGATACGATTAACGAGCTCGTCTGTTTTTGACATTCGCAGTTGGGCCAAGAAACCCACGAGGGCCTGGAAAAGATCTGTTACGCTCCCGTACAAAGCGAATTCATCGGTCCGGTCAGCCTCGACCTCTGCACGGTGCAGAGTATTTGGGGATATTTCCAGAACAGTATCGACACGTTCAACACAACATGGAACTCCGATGGATACAACTTGAATTATTTGGATCACTTATACGGTTGCATGCAGTGAGTAATGGCTAATCTCCCGCGTCTCTTAAGTTTACAATTTACGATAATAAGATAATAAGAATAAGTGACAAATAATAAGTGACAGTACAAAGAGAGAAAACATGCCAACGTGGTATCTCAAGATTCTTTTCATTAAAAGAAAGATATCTTTTCGATAAAAATATATATCTTTCGCGTAATAAAAGTTGCATACAAGCGTCTTTTTTGCTCTTTATCCTGTCTTAGCTCTTTTGGCTCCATTTTTTTAAGCAACGTTTAGTAAAATAAAAGTATCAATACTGGGAGACGTATCTAACTCTTATTGTTTTGGTCTTTAAACAAAAATTTAAATTTCCAACACAGAATATATATATATATATATATATATATATATTTTTTTTATTTACGTTGAAAGTTTAAATATTCGTATTTAAAAACCGAAACAATAGGAATGTTCAAAGTTAGATAAGTGTCTAGGTATTGATATATTTATACTGTTATATGCAAGAAAATAAGTTGAACAATGTTAACATAAATTTAAATTTTTGAGCTTACTATGAGACATATATAATTTAATGAGATAAGAGGAGTTAAACGATTTTGATCCTTTCCTCAGGAAAAATTACTTTAAGTTATTCAAATTAACTTAAAGTTGCTTAAAGTTATTTAATGTTATTTATAGTTAAGTAAAAATTGCTTACAGTTAACTATAAATAACTTTAAGTAACTTTAAGCAACTTTAAATTAATTTGAGCGTCTTAAAGTAATTTTTCCTAAGGATTAACACGATAAAAATTTGTTCTCAGAAACGCACTCAATCCAAATTGCCTGGCACCGTACAAGGGACCGATAATACCCGCTATAACGATCGGAGGTTTCCTGAAGGAAGGTGAATACCAATACGATTCCAACGATTATATCAAAGCGACAGGGTTGATCTTGACCTTCTTGGTAAAAAACTCGATCAAACAGGAGGAACTCGCGCCTGTTATAAAATGGGAACAACGGTACGCGAAAGTTGGCAAAAATAGCGGAGACAAAAATCGTTTTCCGCGATTGAAAATAACGATTGCCACGTCACAGAGACCTGATTTGTTAAGTCGCGCGAATATTTCAGTTTCCTCGACTTCATGGCGAAATGGGTGGTCGACAGTCGACCCAAGTTCATGGACGTCGCTTACACGACGGAGAAATCGATAGAGGATGAGCTGGACAGAACATCGAAGGCGGAAGTGTTGACGATGGTTATCAGTTACCTCGTCATGTTCGTCTACATCTTCATCGCCCTCGGTAAAGTTCGGTCCTCGCTCGTCGGCTGCTTCGTAAGTTTCCCCTCAACGTCGTCTCGAAACCGTTACCCCGGATCTACGATAAGTGTAATGAGCCTTCAGCCTTCTGCTTTAAAGCCTATAATTCCTGGCAAAAAGCGGTTTCCGCGTTGCTTTAACTGTTGGACCAACTCGTTTTAAACTTAAGGAATATAACTTCAGGCAGCAGTGAGATACGTTTTTAACCGAAAATTTTATATAGTTTTTTAATCAGAACGTAACCCATACAACACAAATGTCCGAAATACATCCCAGAGACATCCCAGAGATATCACATTGTCTCTGGAACGTCTCTGGGATGTATTTCAGACATTTGATACTGTATGGATAAGATTTGAGGTTCACTACACTTATTGTAGACCCGAGTTATGACGCGTGCATGCACATTCGAACGATTTCTCTCGGAATTGGTGTGCACGTGATAAATTGCTCAAACTTGAATTTCAGACCGAGAGCAAAATCGTACTTAGTCTTGGTGGGATCACCATAGTCATAGCGTCGGTCGCGTGTTCGCTAGGCGTTTTTGGCTACCTCAGCGTGCCGACCACTCTGCTCACGATCGAGGTATAATATTTCACAATAAGCCGAATTTAACAATATATCGCATGCAACTTACATAATTTAAATATATCTGAGAAACTTTCACGCGAGAGAAACGAATTTCATCACAAAAAATCGTTTCTCTCGCATAAGTGTCTCTCAAATTAATATCATCGTAATGAATCATGATTTCATCATAATTAATGCTTGTTTCATACTTCATAATTCATACTTTTCAGGTGATTCCCTTCCTGGTATTGGCTGTCGGAGTCGATAACATCTTCATCTTGGTGCAAAATTACCAGAGGAATCCTCGACGCAACGGTGAAACGATACCGGAGCATATCGGCAGGGTCCTGGGTGCGGTTGGACCCTCGATGTTGCTCACCAGCATGTCCGAATTCTTTTGCTTCCTCATCGGTAACGTGACATAACATAATGAATCGATAAAGAAAACCAGCACGAGAGAAGACGGCTGTCTGGAATCATGGAAAATTCAAATGTTTCAGGAGCGTTTTCCTCGATGCCGGCCGTCAACACCTTCGCCATGTACGCTTCGTTGTCGATTCTAATTAACTTCATGCTCCAAATCATCGCTTTCGTCGCCCTATTGTCCCTCGACTCTAGGAGATACGAGGTAAATTATTCAGATAAAGAAAGACTCACAAGTAAGACTCTTTAAAAAAGATGTGACAGCATACAATTGTCGTACTGATTCTTAGACAAGCCGTCTGGACGCGCTTTGTTGCATTCAAGTTGAGAAAAACATGGAGCTCGAGGATCGCCAAGGTCTAATCCACGTGCTCTTCGAGCGTTACTACACGCCGTACCTGATGAAAACGCCGATCAGACTTATCGTCATGATGATCTTCGTCGCCGCTTCGGTCACTCACATCATGTTCATACCGCAGATCGAAATTGGATTGGATCAAAAGCTCTCGATGCCGAAGGACTCTTATGTCCTGAAGTACTTCGAGGTAAAAAGAAGCGCATTTTGCACACGCTATTGCTAATTAATTACAGACAACAACATTTAAGGATACGTCAGCTATGGGCAAAGAGCTTTTTCACTCTGATTCTTTTTGGAATGTCCAAATTTGTAAAACTGTTTCGTCGATAAAAATTATTGATAAAATCATGACTGATAAACCGTATATCACGCGATCTTATAATGAATATCGTACCATTTTCGTAGTATATGGAGGATCTATTGTCGATGGGTCCGCCGGTGTACTTTGTGCTGACAGAGGGCTTAAACTACAGCAGAAGAGAAGTGCAGAACGTGATATGCGGTGCTCAGGGATGCAATTCGGATTCCTTGTATACGCAGATCTACTCGGCGGCCAGTCAGCCCTCCGTGTTAGTATCCCGAGGAATCTTGAAAAGATATCACAAGTCGCAAATAAAATTCAGCACAAAATGATAATTGCGTTTCTACGCACACATTAAAATATCATCGCAAATAAATATGACACTCGCAATAGTCTCCCTGGGAGATAATTATTCCGAAATTATATTATTATTTCGATGATTTCATAAGTTTCACGAGACACAGCAACATAATCTACTGAAAGATGTCTTAAAGACATCCAAAAGATGTCTTATTTCTTTTAGACGTCTTCTGGACATTCTTAAGATACCTTTTAGTCATTTGTGCTGTCTGGGGGTGCTCGAAGATGTAAAATGTACTTCGAATAATTGCAGTTCGTATTTATCTAAAGCGGCCTCTTCCTGGATAGACGATTACTTCGACTGGTCGACCATTGACGATTGCTGCATGTACTTCGCCACCAACGACTCGTTTTGTCCACACAGCAACGGTGGTAAGTGTCGCGTAACATCAGCATTAAAACCTGCACTGGGATTCTATAACTCGTTGTTGGAGATAATGATAGTTTCGTTATCATTGCGCAGTTTTTATATACTGTAGCAAAGTTGCGCAACGATAACGAAACTGTCGTTAACTCCAATAACGAGTTACAGAATCCCAGCACTGGGCTGCATTCGGGGAAACGCTATTTAGCGCTATGAGCATCCTCTGTCCTTGTTCAACTTTCAACAAACAAGGACAGAGCACACTCATAGCACTAAATAGCGTCTCCCCTATTTGACGATACTTTCAATTTCCTAACGCGATTATAATTCAGTAATTATAATTATAATTATTGATAATTATAATAACAAGGATAATTTGAATTTTCAGGATTCTGTGAAAACTGCAAGATTCCGACAAATAAGTCCCGACCAACCGAATGGGGTTTCAGGAAGTACATACCGTATTTCTTGACGGACATTCCCGACGAAGATTGCGCTAAAGCTGGCAGGGCATCCTACCTCGACGTGAGTCTCTCAATGTTATCAGAAACAAATTTCTATCGAGACGCGAACGGACAAAAATTATTTTCCAATCATGCCGCACGAAATGCAAGAGTAATTGAAATAAATTAATTCTCCCAATAACCGAATAATTGAAACTTTCGTCTTCCAAAACAGGCGGTAAATTATTACTACGATAAGTTCGGCATGACAGACGTGGGCGATACATACTTCATGGGTTATCATACACCTTTGAAAAAATCGCACGAATGGTATGAAGCGCTACAGGCAAGCAGAATAATCGCGGATAACATTACGAACATGATTAACGACGCTAAACTGTCGGATCGGAAGGTCAAATTGTTCCCGTACAGGTAATATAATTCTCGATACTCGTCGAACAAATTATTTCCGAAATGAGGTCCCGGATAGCACAAACTTCTAAAAGAGGCTTTGAAACATCTAAAAGATGTCTAAAAAAACAGGATGCCATTTAGGCATCTTTTAAAAGTTAATGCTGCCTGGAACTCCCGACTTCCCGACAATTGGATAACTTTATCGAACAATTCTCCTAATGAACGTTTCAGCGTGTTCTACGTATTTTATGAGCAATACCTCACCATCTGGCAGGAGTCCCTGTTGTCGATAAGCCTGACCCTCGCTGTGATCTTCGTAGTAACACTGTTCCTCACAGGTTTGTCGCTCTTCTCCGCGGTAGTGGTCGTGCTCACCGTGCTGATGATACTGCTGAATCTCGGAGGTCTAATGTATTGGTGGGGCATCAGTTTGAATGCGGTTTCCCTCGTGAATCTTGTCATGGTTCGTATCGAAATTCTAATAGTTAAATATGACTTTTACGGAGGCAAATTCGAACGTTAAAAAGAAATGGCAAATAAGACAGTTGCTGAATAAGACAATACAGAATTACCGTGCACTGATAACCACGGCAATGCTCTTACTTGCCGTTCCATTTTATCATATCGACTTTTTCGTTATCTGACAGAAAAACGTCACGCTATATGCCAATTGAATTATAATCGCTTGTTACAATTATTATTGCTAAAAAATATATCACTAATTAAAGCGAAACATGAACTTTTTTAGGCAGCTGGTATCTCCGTGGAATTTTGTAGCCACATAGTGCACTCTTACATCACTTCCACGGCGGTAACGAGGATCAGCAAAGCATCGGCGGCGCTTTGTATCATGGGAAGCTCCGTAAGTTGTTCGTTAAGCATCTCGAAAAATAAGTGCGGCTTAAACTCTCAAGAGAGAAACGTTAACTTGACGCGTTAACCCTCTCGAGCGAGCAACAAAATGATATTCATTCATTCCTGTTGTGTACAGGTATTCTCGGGGATTACTCTGACTAAGTTTGTGGGAATAATAGTGCTCGCGTTCGCGAAATCGCAAATTTTCACAATATTCTACTTCAGAATGTACTTAGGGATCGTTCTATTCGGCGCGGCGCACGGCTTGATATTCTTGCCTGTATTATTAAGTTTTATAGGTAAGTTGACACGCAAATACCGCGTTTCGTTCATCGGCACTATATAATTTGTGCATAAACATAATTATGATTACAGGAACTACCTAGGGATAACTCTTATCGAAAGATCCGTTGCGAAGAACGCCACGAAGATACCCGGATCTGCAAAAGCCATACGAGACGACTCGTAACGCACAAGCAAATGCTTGGAGATCTATTAGTGTAATCAATTGCATAATATGTAAATAATAATAATTAATATGTGATAATGTGTGTAAGTCAACTTGACGCATTAGTAGAAACAAAAGCTAATGTAAATTATTTCGCGAGTTTAAAAAAATTTTAATCGAATTTCGACTTACACATTTAATGTACAGAGATCAATATGATAGTTTCAACACGCCAAATTAAATAATTCCAGAACAGTGGATTTCTTTTGGAAAGTTGTAGAATTACTTCATTTGTCAACTTTTATATTGATCTGTGTACGATCATTAGACTGGATATACGATACTCCTTGTATTATGTAATGATCATACAATGCACAGTATGGTCATGATTGATGCGAAACAATGTAATCAAACACATTTTCATCAAACATGAAAATCATATCATAATCTATATATTTTACATGAAAACTGAAAAATATAGGTGTAAATATTTTCTACTGATATATAATTTTCATTTTTTTTTCCAAGACTTCGCACAGATCTTATGCAATCAATGAATTTCTCACATTTGATCATATTTATTCATTTATCGAATAACAATGGTAACACTAAGTTTAAGTAAATCAATCACTTCAAAACATAACCAAGATTTTAACTTCTTATAAAATAAAATATCGAGATATGTGTGTGTATGTGTAGATAGACTTTATAAAAGGACAAATTATTCAGGGCGCAGTTTCGGATACGATATTTAATGTTTCAGTGCTATACAAGAATACATACGGTTTTTATATCTGCATGGATTACAACTTTCTAGATTCTTGTCGCACTTGTCGTTCCTATAATGAACAATAATTTTAGAAACAAAATTTTAAGAAGTACATGTGTGAATGTAGATTTTAAGTATAAATTAAAAATAAAAAAAAAAAAACAAAAATTTTCTGTTACTACAGAGATTATCTAATTTACTACATAGGTACTAGTAAGAGTTCTCCCTTAAACTTCAGTTTAAGGACGTTCGCCTCCTCGAAGACGCAGAACCAAATGGAGTGTGGATTCTTTCTGAATGTTGTAATCAGAAAGAGTTCTGCCATCTTCCAGCTGCTTGCCAGCAAAGATCAAACGCTGCTGATCTGGGGGAATTCCCTCTTTATCTTGGATCTTAGCTTTCACATTCTCTATCGTGTCTGAAGCTTCAACTTCGAGGGTGATGGTCTTGCCTGTGAGGGTCTTCACAAAAATTTGCATTCCTCCTCGAAGACGCAGAACTAGATGGAGTGTGGATTCCTTCTGAATGTTGTAATCAGAAAGAGTTCTGCCATCTTCCAGCTGCTTGCCAGCAAAGATCAAACGCTGCTGATCTGGAGGAATTCCTTCTTTGTCTTGGATCTTGGCTTTCACATTCTCTATTGTGTCTGAAGCTTCAACCTCTAAGGTGATGGTCTTGCCTGTGAGGGTCTTCACAAAAATTTGCATTCCTCCTCGAAGACGCAGAACTAGATGGAGTGTGGATTCCTTCTGAATGTTGTAATCAGAAAGAGTTCTGCCATCTTCCAGCTGCTTGCCAGCAAAGATCAAACGCTGCTGATCTGGAGGAATTCCTTCTTTGTCTTGGATCTTGGCTTTCACATTCTCTATTGTGTCTGAAGCTTCAACCTCTAAGGTGATGGTCTTGCCTGTGAGGGTCTTCACAAAAATTTGCATTCCTCCTCGAAGACGCAGAACTAGATGGAGTGTGGATTCCTTCTGAATGTTGTAATCAGAAAGAGTTCTGCCATCTTCCAGCTGCTTGCCAGCAAAGATCAAACGCTGTTGATCTGGAGGAATTCCCTCTTTGTCTTGGATCTTAGCTTTCACATTCTCTATTGTGTCAGAAGCTTCAACCTCAAGGGTGATAGTCTTGCCTGTGAGGGTCTTCACAAAGATTTGCATGTTGGATCTAAAACAAAATATTGACGATACTGAGTCCAAAAACATTACGTATATTATATCGCGTAATCATAACAAAATAGGACTCCTCTCCGTGAATAACGTCTAAAAAAACAATGGCGTCTACAAGAAAGGACGTAGAAATGACACGAAAATATTTAACGGAATTTTACGCTAATTCTTGTATATTTGTTGCGAACAACCTTAACCTCAACTTTCGTAAATAGTATTTTTAAACGTTTTATAATAAATATGCAATTCGGGGCTTACGTACTTTATTTACGGATAATCGATCGTGCGGAAATGAATAATTTGTCAAAATGGAGGATGACGCTATGGAAGGAGAATTTCCACCAGCGCAACAGCGGCGGATTTCCGCGCACAGCCGATCGTATAACGCTGCCGATCACTTACCTGATATCAAAACGATTCGCGGCTACCAAAAACCGTAACGTGAACCAGACCGTTCGATAGATAGAACAAAAGACGAGCGACTCAAACAATCGACCGCTGCGAAAAGACCACTCACGAGAAATGATAAGAAAATGACGTCACCGTTTCTTCCTCAGATATGTGCGCCGGCGCAGTTCAGTTATGTTGGCTTATGGCTCATGCACGCAGGACGCGGTAGTGTTTGCCGCGCGGCGGAAGTTCGCGCGACAGCCAATCAATATGCTGCTTTCCGTAATAACCTTCTAGCCGAAAAACAACATGCTGATTGGCTGTCGCGCGGACTTCCGCCGCGCGGCAAACATTACCGCGTCCTGTGTGCAGGAGCCATTACACTAGGAAGCTTGTGTTCAAATATTCATTGCCAGTGGGTGCGTTCTACTTTACGCTCGCAACGATGCGAGCGTCATTGGGTGCTTTCCAATTGCAATATCCCTAGACACTTTCATGCACACAGCGACACAAGTTGACATTCCAATCGTCGACACAACACTTCACATCCGTACTCAGCTCGAGGGCTAGTAGTCGGCTGTGTAAACTAGTGTTTTCTAATGAAAATTAAAATTAATAAGCGTAGCGGCTTGAAAAGAGACTGGCATTTGCGACGTGAAGTGGGTAATATCTTTTTTATTATTTAGATTTTATTATTTATTATTTAAAAATACCAAAATATAAGCATAGTTGAAAAATAATCCTAACCTTATCCGACATGCATACATACTGGCTGCGTTCCGAAATGCACTGCCAGTACTGAAAATCTATAGTTCATGTTACGTATATTATAGAATTTCAGTACTGGCAGTGAATTTCGGAACGCAGCCATTAATACACTTTGTTCCAATTGAATCGTACACAACGTTACACTTTGTGCATTTCTGTGTACATATGTGTCAAGATGTGTTAAGCAATTGGAAATATGTGACCAATAAGAGTTTTGTGCACGTGTGTGTCAAGATGTGTTAAATAATTGGAAAGCACCCTTTGTTACTTACTAAATGTGGAACAAAGATAGAATGATGTTTGTGTCGACTTGTGTCTCTTGTTGGAAAGTAATCATATCTCTCCAATAAAAATGCATGACATGTACCTAATTTGGATAGCTCCATCCTTACCTGTGTAAACTGATATTTTCATTTGCAGCTGCTTTTTTCGCATAAATAACATCTCTGAGTGCTCATGTTTATAGCATATGGTATATATAACCTATTAAGTCGTTCTACATTAGTCGCATAAATAACATCTCTGGGTGCTCATGTTTATAGCATATGGTATATATAACCTATTAAGTCGTTCTACATTAGTCGCATAAATAACATCTCTGGGTGCTCATGTTTATAGCATATGGTATATATAACCTATTAAGTCGTTCTACATTAGTCGCATAAATAACATCTCTGGGTGCTCATGTTTATAGCATATGGTATATATAACCTATTAAGTCGTTCTACATTAGTCGCATAAATAACATCTCTGGGTGCTCATGTTTATAGCATATGGTATATATAACCTATTAAGTCGTTCTACATTAGTCGCATAAATAACATCTCTGGGTGCTCATGTTTATAGCATATGGTATATATAACCTATTAAGTCGTTCTACATTAGTCGCATAAATAACATCTCTGGGTGCTCATGTTTATAGCATATGGTATATATAACCTATTAAGTCGTTCTACATTAGTCGCATAAATAACATCTCTGGGTGCTCATGTTTATAGCATATGGTATATATAACCTATTAAGTCGTTCTACATTAGTTGCAAGTCGATTGCAACTCTTGTTGCGATAGCCAATCAGAAGCGTTAATAGCACCATTGATGCTTCTAATTAGCTATCGCAATAAGAATTGCGTCTGCTTGCGATCGGCTTGCAACTAATATAGAACGACCTTAACGTTTAATGATGTCGTTATGTATCGCTGCACAGTTATTTCATAATACAAAAAATATGCGTAATGATACATAACGATGTCGTTAAAAGTTATAGGCCCATATTCTGAGAATCGATTATGTATCTCGAATCGGAGTGAAAATTACAAAAGTGAGCGAATTCACTAAGCATTGACCAATAAAGTTATAAATATTCTAGAAAATTTGCTCACTTTTGTCATTTTCATTCCGTTTTAAGATACACAATCGACCCCCTGAATCCTCTTTTATCGATAGGTTTGTTCTTTTCAGCTGCACTGCTACACAAGTGCAATAAGCTAAAGTGAAATAAAATATATTTATCTCATTCTAACTTATTGCCCCAGTGTAGCAATGCAGTTGAAAAGAACAGATCAAAGTGCCTTGAATGTAGCTTCTTAGCCAATCAGGTGGCTCCTAATGCAGGATTCACACCACGTCCTATGTCCGACGTACGACGTCCGATATCCAATAGGAGAACAGCTTTTTAATATAGAATTCAATTCTCCATTGCAAAGCTATTTTTTTATTGGATATCGGATGTCGTACGTCGGAGATCGGACGCGATGTGAATCCTGCATAAACTTTTATGGCTTCTGCACACAGAACGCGGCGACGCTTGCCGCGCGGCAGAAGTTCGCGCAACAACCAATGTGTTGTTTTTCCGTGAGAGCTACAAGGTTATTACGGAAAGCAGTATATTGATTGGCTATCGTACGAACTTCCGCTGCGCGGCAAGCATTGCCGTGTCCTGTGGGCAGGAGCCATTAGAAACACTTTTATAGATAAGAGTATTCAGGGTGAAGTCCCATGGCACGTATTTTCGCGTAACGCGTAACCGCATAATCAATCACATTTTTCTATTCTTTTAGAAGTTCCAACAGAAATACTAAACGTCGAAATCTATTGGTTACGCGATACGCGGAAAATACATGTCATGGGACTCCAATCTCAGAATATGGGCCATATAGAATATACCTTTAGATTTAGCATATATACCAATAAAATTTAAAAATCTTATAACAGTTGCAAAGCAGCTTTCTCTGCTAAACGCAACCATTGGCTGTGTTCAGCAGAGAAAGCTGCTTTCCAACTGTTGTAAAATTCGTGAATCTAATTAGAGCATGCTCTTAATTTTGGTTGAATCCAAGAGCATGTACCAATCAGATTCACGAATTTTACAACAGTTGCAAAGCAGCTTTCTCTGCTGAACGCTGCTGAACCATTGTATAAAACATCAAGAAAAACCGGCGAATGAACTGCACCTTATAAATGTCCAGTAGCTATATCAAAAACAATCAAGAGTAACAATAGGCCTGTTCTTTTTCGCTGCACTGCTGAACTGGTGCAATAAGTTAAAGCGAGATACATTATGTTTTCTCACTTTAACTTATTGCACTAGTGCAGTAGTGCAGCGAAAAAGAATAGGCCTATTATCTCAAATACAGCTACTCTATGCTTTATACGTTTATATCGTACTTATATGCACAATGAAATAACAAATATATGACGAAATAGGCGCACAAATACATACTGGACAGACAGTATCGTATATAGTTGTCATCTTTCTGACGAGGCCGGCAACTCATAAACAATCATGAGGGATGAGTCGATAGTGGTGATTTATGTGGCCACTGAAGATAAAGAGTTTGGTATCCCGTTATCCTCCAACTGGTGCATAGAAGATTTATGTATCCAGGTGTGTGTGCACAACATTCTTATCTTCCTTTTAGATAGGTGAATGCAGTTCTCATGATACGCCAAAAACACGTCTCTCTCAATTTGACAACTCATACATTGAGACCTCCTTATTTCAATTTGTACCAATTATTTGTTGTCAATTAATCGACGTGATGACATTGTTTTTACAAAATAATATGATTTCCAGAAATTGTCTTGCAATTAGTATACAAATCACAGCAATGTATAACCTACAATACAATAAATATCAATCGGAATTTTTTTATTTGCATTCCCTTATTCTTAAGAAGTAAAATATTATCGATTACTAATTGTATACTATAATATATGTAATAATAGACATTATGGAACTTCAGATTTATCAACTGATCTCTATATTACAAAATATTTTTTTAATTTTTGAATGAACAGTTGTTATACCTTTTTTTATTAATTTCCAGGTATGCAGGAGACTTGGGATAGGCCCAATAGCAAAGTATCTATTTGCCTTACAATGCTATTCTTCCAAACTGTGGTTTCCTTTTTGTCACAAACTTGACAAAAAAGGAAAATATAAGTTCAACTTTCGTTTGAGATTTAAGCCATCTAGTTTGCAGAGATTGAAACATATAGATAAACAGGCATACAATTATTATTTTCAACAAGCTCGTTCTGATGTAATGGATAATAAAGTACCTGACATTGTTTATGAGACACACAAGAGGGAACTAATTGGCCTAGGAGTTAGCGATATGTACAGGTAAAATGCATAAATATGACAAAAGCTATATATTTATCTTTTAGGTTTTCTATATATCAAACTAAATTGTTCATTTTAATTTATGAATAATTCTGCATAGATAACTTTTATTATTTCATTTGAAAGAGCTCAGTGTGATTTTAACCCACAGCTATGTATTTTTTTATCCTGTGATAGAGTAATGCTTGAGAAACAATTGCCACGAGAAACTGTAGAATCAGACTACAAAAAGTATATTCCAAAGGAATGTGTGAAGAGACATGCCTTTTTCATTAAGAAGCCTATACGCAATGCACTGGGACGATTATCTGGGCACGACGCTTCTCATGTCAAAGAAGAGTATCTAAAGCAATTTGAATGCATGGCTCCCAACTATCCCTATGAGGAATATAAAGCATTTATGGACAAACCAGGTCCTGATCCACCAGCTAAGGTTTTACTCAGGGTAAAAATTGAGGAAGTAAAATACTACGACACGGACAGCCGCGAGTGGGATACACTTTGTGCAATAGAGGATCTCTGTTTCATTTCTATAGGGTAATATTCAATAAAACATCTTAATAAGTTAACATTTTCAGAATGTACCTTAAAGTTTTTGATCCCATTGCTGCAGAAAATTAATGTGACATGCAACCTTTCTCTTTAACCTACTTTTTCTCATAATTTAGCCACATTAATATTTAGGCTATTTATATTGACTATTTGAAAAGGATTATTTTTTAAGCATTTTACAAATATGCTTAAGCAACCTAAAGTTCTTTCATACAAATATCTTTTTACTTAGAAATGGCACACCAAAATTTTTAGCATGCATTTTCTCGTTTTTAGCGTCGTTAATTCAGACTACCGCAGCAGTGAGACCAGCAGCCTTAATATAATTTTAAGATACAGTTATATCGAGTATACATGAAAAAAAAAGGAATCTATATTTAACTTTGGGTCTGTTTTGTATTGCTGAACTGATACAATAAGTTAGAGTGAGAAAATATATGGTTGTCTCACTTTAACTTATTGCACCAGTTGAATAGTGCAGCAACAGAAAACAGATTCTTAATCTACGGCAATCTCAGGCAAGGTAACAACGTGGAAGTTTCGAGAAAAAATGGTATACCGACGTATCTGACGTTCGACGACAATGCACACTTAATGTCCTTCGTATCCGCGCTGGACGGATATTACCGATTGTCTGTTAAGTGGACCTTCAATCTCTGCAGTAGTGTTATCACGCCTACCTTGGATAGATTGCACAAGTTAAAGTGCCATGGACCAGTCGGGTGAGATGATCGTGAAATGGCGTATCGAGTCACGTATTTACATGTTACATAGATAATATTACAATAAAAACTCATGAAATGTTTCAGAAAAGAGTTCTCGTATGCCAAACTCAGGGAGAAACGTGCCAACAAAACGGGAACTTACATACTGCGTGAGAGCGAGACCGAATACGATGTCTACTACATCGACGTCTGCGGCACAGATGGGAAAATATTGACACAGAGAGTAGAGCAGATTGCGTCTAATGAATTCGCGCTACCAAATAGTACAGAGAGATATAAATCTCTGGGACATTTGACCTCGTCATTTCAAGAGCCCACCAATGCTCTGTATCTTACGGAGTGTTTGCCACCTTCGGAATATGGTATGCGCGATAAGTTCTTAACAATTTTTATCATGGATAAAGTTATTATCGCGAGTACTATACTCCATTTCGAAATAACCGAAAATTAGAATTTATTGTCCACGATATCATGTGGAATTCATGTTTACAGACGTATCGCCATTATTAATATGCGCCTCGGAAACAGTTGGCAATGAAGTAGCGGCGGACGAGGAGATAATCATTAACATGTTGGAGGGCGGGCCACGGTGCGTTCAGTGGAAAGATTTGCAGACGTACAAAACGTTTGTCAAGAGCGACGAGGACCTGGGTCGCAAGTCGCCCACGAAACTGTACCACGCCATGTGGCGAATCGCGAAGGGCAAAAAACTCGAGGTCGCGATGAAGATACTCAAGAATGAAGAGAACAATTATACCAAAGAATTCCTCGAGTTGGCCGGCAAGTGGGGCCAATTGCGATCGGGTGCTTTAGTAAGGTAGATACAAAAGACGGAGACACGTAAAAACAATCAGGGTACGAGCAATTGTACAGGAGTAAATTATAAATTAACGTGTCGTTTTGACTAACTAGATTATACGGCATAACTGTGGCGCCTACAATTGGTATGTTACTCGAAAACGTACAGATGGGCCCGTTGGATAAGTACCTACGCAGCAACCCTCCGCAGACGATAAAAACGGCCGACATGGTGGAGGCCACAACTTGTCTGGCGACGGCTCTGTGGCACTTGGTAAGCTCATCTAGAGCTAGCGTTTCAAATTTTGTTCTAAAGTATGTCCACTTTGTTAAACATGATTGGAATCACGCATTTACTTAGGAAGAGAACAAGGTGGTGCACGGACATATAAGGTGTAGGAAGCTGCTGGTGCACACGCACACCGCTAATAGTTTTATCGTCAAATTGGCGGATCCCGGTATCTTCACTAACACAGAAGCCGAGTAAGTTGAAGAACAAATATTGTCTAATTACATAAAATGTTTCTTTTCTCTCTTTCTGTCATTTTCTTTTGATTCATGATACCTGGATCGTCTTATATAGTTTACATTGGATACCGCCGGAATGTTACTCAAATCTGGAATCCGCAAAACGCAATCCGCAAGCTGACATATGGGCACTGGCCACGACCATTTGGGAGATATTTTCCAGAGGACTTCCAATTTGGAGGATATCTCCACCCTCGTATCCCAATGCAAATATCGTGAAGAAGGTATATGTTCATTAATCATAGGTTTATATTCATTATTCTCAAATTCTGCCGCACGTCTTGCTCGATACAAGATATTTACGTCATTTGTGACGTTGATTCGTGTATAGGCAATATTTATAAATATATTTTCATTCATTGACAGTATATCCGTACGAACGGCATTTTGTTGCAGTTTTATGAATCTGGATACCGATTGCCTCAGCCTGTCGGCTGTCCAAACAGCGTCTACAAGTTAATGTTGCAATGTTGGGGCGAGAATAATACGTCGAGGAAACAACCTCAGGCGATCATGCGAGATATCAATCAAATTCTGTATCAGGTGTACAATTCCCGTAGAACTCACGCTTACGCCACGGCATTCCCCAAACTTTTTAAAGAAAACTATCGAATTCTTAAAAACAAAGATGATGATGAGGACGACGACGACGACGCCGATGACAATAACGAAGACATCGACGACGACGACGACGACGATGAAGACAATCAGGATACAATAGAGAATACAACGGAGAACGGCGGATCACGGAGAAGCAGTTCGAATTTCACCGAATATACTAATTTATCTTATGGGGATACAGACGATGGTGAGCTTTTAATTTCTTAACTCTATCCCAGCAACTTCCTTTTAATATATAGTGAGAAAGAAACAGTCAAGCAGTAAAATGCATTCATGAATTTTCTTCTACGAAAATTTGATTAACTCTTCAGGATTCTAATAATAATAATAAATTACGTGCAATCTTCTCATTATGATTACGACTACTAATCAAGCAAAGACTAAGAATGAGAAACTACTTTCAGCTACTTCAAGTACAAGGGCGTTACTTATCCCTGCCGACTATACAGAGGATCTGTCCTCTTACCTAGACTTGCTGTTACGCACGATGCGCGGTGGTACCAAAAAGCATTCCAAGAATCGTTTTCTCCGTTCAAAACGGGAAGATAGCATCAGTAATGTGATACAACTGAAGAACGGAAGCAATGACAGCAACGGCAGCGTTGTCTACGAAAGCTCCTTAAGCCAGATGCAGGATGTCTTTGAACTGGATGCGGAATGTAATGTAATCCTGCAAGGACTTATTGGTCAAGGCTTCTACGGCGAAGTGTATAAGGGCGCGATCGAGAGGGAAAACAGCAAGGAAGAGCCACAGCTGGTGGCTATCAAGAAGCTCAAAACGCGCTCTATGGATACTATGGGTCAGCGTGATTTCGAGAGGGAAATTTCGATTATGAAGGTGATACGCAGGGATACTTATCTTGACAAATCAAACATTTTTCTTTAGGAATACGTTCCTCAGACTTGCAAAAAATTCTTTTTCTATGACTGGAAAAACAAGAATCAACGTTTCTCTAGTCAAAAGTGTTATCTTTCAAAATTTTCTATTAAACTCCACATCCTCTTTCGTTCCTTGATTATCAAAATATTAGCTAATTAATGTAATCAAAATAATGCATATTTCTTCTTGAAGATAGTCAATGCATATACTATGGCCGATACAAAAAAAAAATATAAATCTTCTATGTTACTTGGAAGACGATGTAATTACGGAGGGATTAATTACGTGATACCAATAGTATCACGTAATTACACGTAATGAGTAACAAGTTGATCACTATATACATAATCATCACTCTCTCGTTTGGATTACAGACTCTCGCGCACCCGAATATCGTGCAAATCTTAGCCGTTTTGTCAGACCCCGAACCATGCCTGGTCATGGAGTTTGTCAAGCATGGTTCGCTGCAGAGCTACCTGGCGATTAACCGGCACAGTCTCACGCATAACAAACTGCTGGGTTTCGCCCACGACATCGCCACAGGCATGGACTATCTCGGTAGCATGAACATTGTTCATCGAGATTTAGCGGCGAGAAACATCTTGGTAGCGGACGAGAACCGAGTGAAGATCAGCGACTTCGGCCTCGCGCAAGTCATGGGCAACAACGAGTACTACATATTACAAACCAACCGCGATCTTCCAATAAAATGGTAAATATCGTAAGAATATTAAATGATTATCCTCCATCGCTACAGATATCATTAACGACGCGAATGTTTCAACAAAGGCGATCTGATTTCTTTTTCTATTTCCGAAATCGATCGTAATCGTCGAGATTCCTGGCTTCGATTAGATCTTTCCCGCGGAATATATAACGCGTTAACTGTTACTCATTACTATAAAAGTCTTATTAACATTGCGACTAGAGTCTACTCACCACTTCTTCCTCAGGTATGCACCGGAAAGTCTAAGGGACGGCAAGTTCTCGACCCGCTCGGACGTATGGTCATTCGGCGTGACGATGTATGAGATCTTCAGCTTGGGTGAGGATCCGAAGCTGCCAGGCTTTCAACAGAAACGCATGGACAGCAGTAACGATCCCGAGGAAGGGAGCAGCGCCGAGTTGTTGACCGCGTTGGAACAAGGTGCCCGTCTTCCTTGCCCGCCCAAGTGTCCACAAGCTGTGTATGTGAAGCTGATGTATCCGTGTTGGAATTTACAAAGCCAACTGAGGCCTAAGTTTTCTACCCTGTGTCAGGACATCCAACAGCTCCTCTGCGAGTACTAAAGCGTCTCCTAGCGCAGCCTCGTTCGCTCTTACGGGTCACCCTGCTGACGTACCAGAAATATAGACTGGGTATCCCGTTACCTATCCACCTATCCACCCCTGTCCCTCATTTTAGTAGTTTGACGAGTTTATGAAGCTGAACTGCTTCGTAAACGAACTTCATCGGAACGTTGCACCTCGCACCATTTGATACTAGACATACATCTCGCCGATTGGATTTTGAATTAATGTGAATTCGACACTTTATGTTCGCAGTGTGACACAAGGGTGTAATAATGCTCGGGCTACGACTGATGAAGGGTTAAGATTTAGAAAAAAAAAATAAGCATGCACAAAAAGAACAAGGCCTTTCCTTGCCCTGGAAGATCAATTCGCGAAGGCTCGCCGCGTATTTCTTCTTTTTTAATTTTTTTTTATCCTTGGGAAGTTATCGCAACTCTCGATATACTCCGAATTAAGAGAAGCCCTCACTCGTCCGAAGGAGAATCGGGGAATCGACGGTTTGATTCAAGAACGCGATATCGAACACGCATCTCCCATAGCAAAGGTGTATCTAGTCGACTATCGTGCCGCTACTTTATATTATTCTACCGTGTGAAATAAACAGCCTCAGTATTTTTTCAACTTCTGACTTTTTCTTTATTCGCTCCTCACAATTTCGCAGCTCGGCGTGAATAAACTATCAAGTGTTTCGTCGAAATAGCCAAGTAATCGCACGACATGAGGTGAGTATTTGCCACTCGTGGTCGCAGATGTTTTCTTTCTCATGTTATTATGCGCAAATTGTATACGCGCGCCATCGATCGATCCTCTCGACACACCTAAAATTTTCTCGCTCCCCCTTTAAATGTGTGCATTTTTCCTCGATGTAATATCGCCTAGTAATGTCGCGAAAGTGCGAAAAAAAATACGACAGGTGTGAATAGTTCAGCGAACCCTGACCGAGGGGTTATGCGGATATACGCGGAGAAGCTCTGAATGTTTGCGACCTGTTGCTACCGCGTCAGTCTGTCTAAGTTCTTCAAAGTAAATGGAACATCCCGAGGAGCAGTACTACAAACTAAACCGATTTTTGTTGAGGTTTAGTGGCTTATGGCCTTATCAAAGCGCGAGGGACGCTTTTATAATGAGGACTATTATTACGATTTTGATACTATCGTCCTTGTTTGTTCAGGTAGTAATGTTTTATTTGGTGTTATCTGGATTTAACGATTACCTTATTGCCGCTGTTTTATCACGAACGTTGTCCAGATTGCAGGGACTCTCGGCTATTCGAGAGAAACTTTATCCATTCTCTTGTCTGACCAATTTTGTTCACTGACGAATAATTGTAGTCGAGACGAATAACTGTAGTTCCTGAAAAAAAAGAAAATATTATTTTAGTAAAAATCACGATTGAGTCAATTTATTCTTTTAGTTTTGAATGTTTCATCATTCCTTGTCGTTATCTTGAGAAATAAAAAAGAGACAAGAATAAATAACTGTAATAGAGAGACGTTAATTTACAACAGAATAATAATTTTAATCAAGATTATTTTATATGTTTTGTTTTTGCAATTATTTTATATGTTTTGTTTTTGCAATTATTTTATATGTTTTGCCTTATATGTATTGTAATACATTTGCAAGATAACAGTATAAAGTAATCAAAATTAGAGTTTTTAACAAAAAAACACACCATATGTGTATTGATATTTACTATAATTATCATTTGTCGCATCTTTCTCAATCAACAACAAAGTTGTTCAAATGTTTCCTTTTTCAGATAACGAGCGCTTTTAAATCAGAGATTACGATAGATTATTTGTTCGACATGATACCATGGTTCGTACCTACATTAGGTACATTGACTCATTTGTACGCGCGCATCATACACATAAACAAAGTAAGTTCGGTGCACATACTTTATCCAAATTTGTAGAGTTAAAAAGTTTGGCTCGATTTTATGTTTTGTTCAACGATGAATCAACTTCCTTCTGAGACAGAGCTGTTACTAGTATCATTAACGAATGATAAACGACTATTACTTGGTCCATGAATAATCAGTTTGCCGATTGTAATAAAATCAAATTTGATTTTAAAAAATATTAAATTAAATCGAATGTTTTGACAGAACTAATATTTGCTATCTACGTGTGTTATTTTTTGTCATTTCCATTATTTTACGAATGCATTTATCTCGTGCTTGTTCACACGTCGTTTCGTTTTCGTTCAGCTTAAAGAACTTTTCGACTGTATATGGAATGATTGGGCGTTGCAAAAGACAGAGGACGAGATGAAAATCATGCATAAACATGCTGGGACTTCGAGATCACTGATGATTTATTTTTCGCGTAAGGGAAACACTAGATTTCGCTTTACCTACAGGAGAAAAAAGCCTCCTCTATCCGTAAGATTAAGACTGCATTATTGCATATGAAAAATGAATTACGCCTTCTCAATGATCAATGTCGCATATATCACTTAATATAAAGAACAATACGTAATATAATTCTTTTAGCGGTTCATTTTTATGATTTCATCTTTATAACGCATTTATTATAATCGATATCATTAAATTGAATTGATGTGGAATTTCCTAACGGTGATTTTTCATTTAACTCAATGCCGAATTAGTGGTGTTCTCCTTACAAGTTCTTCCTCGTATTTTTTTTCTTCTTATACCCTAACTTTTCGATATCTTTTTTTAATATTTTAAGTAATTAAAAAAGATCCGCTAAATTTTACATCGTGCTCATCAATATTATTGTATAAAGGAGTGGAGTTCGTAAGTAAATGTGTGAATTCACACGCACAACTGTCGACATCAGTTATGCTCGGTAATTTCAACCAATTCGTATTCCTTGAACGTGCTGCCATCTAAAAACTTTCTCGAAGAAATTAAGGACTGATATGTTCCTGTCGCTGCTTATTTTCGAAATTTCTTGATTTTTGCAATAACATATCCGAAATAGAGAACTCAAATAGCACAGAGAATTAAAAAAGAATTCAGTCGTATGTCACTAATTCTGAGTTAATTTTCAGATGCAAAAAGAATTCTTCAAAGTTCAGTTCAGTGAAAAGAATTTTTTTTACATCTAAAAATGAACTCAGAATTGGTGACATACGACTGAACTCTTTTTTAATTCTCTATGCTATTTGGGAAAACAAAGCAAATGGAAAACGATGAAAATGGTCGATAATTTCAATATCAACATCCAATTTTAGAAAAATCCAAACATTAATTATCAAATTCTAAGAATCTTGTCGGAAAAATATACATATATTTTCCGTTAAATATATATGTATATTTTCACTAAGAAATTTATGTTCTTTATGAATTTTTCAGTTCAGATGTATGGGTTTATGCTGATATATGTTTTATTCTTATATACACCGGACATCCTTGACGTTATATCGCCTATGAACGAATCCCGCTTGCGAAATCATTACTTTAAAATCGATTACCTTGTCTCTGAGGAGCAATATATTTCCCTCATTCGAATACACATATGCGCCGTGATGTTTATCATCGTGATGGTTTTCAATGCCTGTTTGACCCTGTTCATAGCTGTCGCGCAACACGTTTGCGGGATGTGCGAATTGCTGTGGTAAGAGGTTGCTCCTCACGTTTGATCGCAATTTGCGAAGAAGCAGACGACTCATGATCCGCCAATGGATGAAGCACCGTAATTCATCGATTGTGTTCTCAGATACGCTCTCACGGTCGTGGCGAATAAAGATATCAGTATTTTTTAGTCTTTCGACTTCTCGTCTGGTTTCTCGCGGATAATGATCTATTAACTCTTCTTTACCGCGAGAGAAATATCGTTCAAGTACGACGACTCGACCGATACGATAAGAATAATACTGATGATAATTTCGCCAGGTATCGCGCGGAGCGACTATTTTACGTGGTCGAAAGCACGGCGGAACGCGATTTAAGTCGCAGGACGAAATTAATTTACAGGAACACGGCTGTTTTCATAAGAATACATCTTAACGTCATACAGTTTGTATTTTTATTTGACATGCGTGTCACCATGGGTCACTAGCTCGCGAGCAAACTAAAAGCTTAACGATAACATAACGACGTGGTTCGCTCCTACGTTATTTTCAATTAACGAAAACCTCGTTACTATTAAGTTATATTAACATTACATTTCTTCCACTATTACTTCGATGTTTGAATAATGAAAACATGCAGAGGGCCACATTTTCCAATATATTTGAATTATACGGCCGGAAGTAAATCATATCCAAGTCACTCCGCATTTTACTAACGTACACTATCCGGTACAATAGTGTTAACATATACTGGGCCTAGTTCCAAATGAATTTCTTGATTATGAGTAATTTTAATCATATCAATAGACTCATTTTCACACACGGAAAGAAATTTTAGCTTCTATAAATTCTTTTGAATTTTACTATATCTTTAATGGTTCAAGAAGGATAGACTATCAGTAAAGTCTATCTTATTAAAGAACATAATAAATTTCGCTAGAAACATAAGAAGTGTTTTAATAGCACATTTGTACAATGTAAGTAGCACACATGAGATGAAAGGATAGTGAATTATTACTGCAGAATGTCGATCTATTCCTCGATTACAAGACCCTACGTTAATTTTTATTATAAAATTCTCTCAGTGCATGAAATAGTCAACAGTTATATCGCACATATACATAGACATATTTTGCATAATCAAGAAATTCGTTTGGGAATAGGCTTAGTAAAATGTCCAGGTTATTATGTTGGATTGTGTATACACGATTTCTCTCACGTTGCAAGATTCATTGGTACAATTGAATATCTTCATACTCTACCGTTTCTAATGGACCTCTTAGGGATAATGGTTGTAATGAGTATTACGTTAACGCAGGTATGTTGATAGTGGAATCGCGTCTTAAGGCGTAATCGATGTATCAAAACAAAATCTTTCTGATTTCCGTTTTCGGTAACATTGAGAAAGCCATTAGATCTATCCTTTTCGCCAATTTACAAGTAATATATATCTCACTGTATAGTTACTTGAGTCAGCAGATCATGGACAATAGCTCGAGGATATTTGACGAATTGTAAGTGTAATATATATTTGGTATTGTAAGTGTAATATATATTGGTAAGTGTACATACAAAAGTAAGTGTACATATAAAAAAATATAATCTTATGTTTAACGGAAATTCTCTTATATATATATGACTTCAAGATTTTTCTAAGGAAAATATTCTGGATACACGATATGATATTTTTAAAATTAGAAGAACTTCATATTTACGTTATAAGTGTTGTTCTTAATAGAAATTTCTTCTAATAAAAGAGTATTCTGTTTCATGTAAACATATTTTTCTTGATTCAAAAGGAAAAAAATATAATAATATTAAATCTATATAGTAGATTAAATATTAAATAAGCTAATAATAAAGCTAATAAATTTCCGATTAACAGTCCATTTCATTAAAAGACTCGGTAAGAGTTTTCACTTAAAATGTGGATTTATAAGAAAAAGCACCTCGTAACTAGACTTATCTGCAGGTGTTAGAATATTTTTTTTTATTTTAGAAGAATTTTTTGGAGGCCATGTATAAAAAGATTTCCATAAAGAATAAGATTATATATTTCTTGAGTGTGTGTGTTCGTTGACAGAAATATCAATCACGATGTAAGTTACAAGTCTCGAAAATCCAATCGACTCTCTTGCAATCAAATCATAAACGTTTTCTTTATTTGCTCCTCTACTCGATTCGATCGCTCGCGAAGTAAAAATCGTATCGCGCAGGTACAACAGTGCGTGGTACGACGTGATAGCCGCGCAGCAGAAGCCGCTGCTGCTGATAATGAAACAACGCTTCCAGCCACTCGTCCTGACCGCCTGTAAGTTTTACGTGATGTCCTTACCGAATTTAGGAAAGGTAAGTGAAGAACGCGTCATATAGGTGAGATGGTCATAATAACTCAAGAGTAAAGAATGTTCTATCTTCTTAAGTTATTTCAGACGACGGTCTCCTATGGCATGTTTATCAGAACATTCTAAAGACAATTTTCAAGTGACGTAGAAGAAGAGAAAACGCGTGCTGTCCTTACTTTCAGCGGCTAGTCGAATGTTCCTGTTTACGCGGCGAGAAAGAGCATCGGCACGTTTCGCAGACAAATAAATGCTCACAGTGTGAATGCGAGATGCAATGAATGAGAATTTTAAATAGGCGACGTACTCTGACGTAGCGCATGAATCTGTTTTAGAGCCATGATAATGTAGGCGAACGCATTTAACAAGACGGCGTGAACGAGAAGTGAATCGACGTGAATGCAGAGACAAGTGTCGCTAAAGTGTCGCGCGTAATTAGTGTTCCAATAATAAAGTAGTAATGAGTAGTTCATAAAGTTGAAGAATTCCGAGAAACCCGCGCATAATTTTTCCTCGTTGATAATCATTTGGAAATACCCACGACCACTGCTTTGCGTGGTCCACTGAGTGCCGTGATTCGCTCGAATTTATTTATTCGATATTTATTCGCAATTATAGCTTCAACGTCGATTCGCAGGTGACATCGTAAATAAGGTCGTAACTTGCACTGCAAGTATTATGATATCGTTATTGAGGTTATGGAAATGCAAATTATCTCAAGCTTGCGGAAATCGTAATCGCGCAAAGTTGCAGCATCTTTCACGACTCAGGTGTCGACAGCGCAGCTCCGCGACGCTTCGCGATGCACCACGTCGCCGAAAAATGGATCGTAAGTCGCGAGGTGAAGCTATGGCGACCGAGATGACGTTCGTGGCAGCCGGTTTAATATCATTAATGAAGGAACACGCGCGGGCAAAAATGCAAGAGAGAAAAGAGAGAGAAAGAAAGAGAGAGAGAGAGAGAGAGAAAGAGAGAGAGAAAGCGAGAACGAGAGCTCTCGTCCCCTCGATTTTCCTTGCGCCACCCCCACCCCTATTCTTTATCCTTGGAGGAAATAAAACCAGAGTTGTAAGAGCCGGATGATTAATATCCAGCCGACAGTTTGTGAAGCGGGCAGCCAATAAACGGGATAAAAATACTCGTGAAAAATAGCGCGCTCATTAGGGGTACAGTGACATCTGCGACTGCCTGCCTCGAGTGCTCGCGGAGGAGCCCAGGAAGGCGGGTCGTCGAGGAGGTCGGTGGGGTGAACAGGGAAAGAGTGAAGAGGAGAAGAGAGCAGGTGGTGGTGGAAGGGGCCGCGCGAGAAGCGGAGGCACCGGAAAACGGAGGGACAGATTTATTAAAGTAATGGCAGATTATTTTAATATTCCGATGGGAGTGCGCTCCATTCGTTGTCTCGTGCAATTCAATAATCCGCGCTTAGGAGCGATCCTTCTCCTCGTCGCCGGTGTGTCATTATTTCGGGGCCAGATTCCCTCCGCGAAAGATGGTCTTTCCTGTTGACGTGTAAAAAACCGGCAATGTAGAGCCGGCACGGATTTACGCGAGAAGAACGCGTCGGCATCTGCCAACAGCAGATCGTCGTATTTTCCATTTTGACTGCGCGACATTTCGTCTTAGTTCCCTGCATCGATTCGTATTCATGCCTTAACTTCGCGGCTAAGTGCGCGATATGTGTATGAGCCGGTCTATGTAATACCGACGAACTTCACCGAGAAAGAGTCTCGTTCTCTGTTTATTTGAGGTTCCAAATAGCTCGAGCTAAATTTTTGCCGGAAACACAGAGCGAATATAGCGCAGCTGTTGGCTTATGAAAACTGTAAGTGTCTCGCTGCCAAAGCAGCGATATCCGAGTAATCGATTCGGCCAATACACACACACATTTCCCCCCTCTCTCTGTGGTATGCAAAAAAATAAAAGTAGAATATACGTTTCACACGCGTGAGTATCATGTGATAGTAAAGAGAAGAGCGCGCGATAAAAAATACGTTAAAGAAATGCACGAGACGAATGGAGGGCAGGATAATTATGATAGTGGGGCGAATGAGACACTGCAGTATCTTCTAATGATAAAATCGATAGTCATCACGAGGTCGTTAAGAAATAAAGGCGATTAATCAAATGCTCATCATGAAATTATTAAAAAAGAATGACTGTGAAATTTATCACTGAGAGGGAGAGGGAGAGAGAAGAAGAGGGGAGAGAGAGAAAGAGAGAGACATTACAGTATCGTAGTCATACTCCACTATACGATTACGTTGATTAATTTCGAGTGTACGATTAATAATCAACTATGCATAACATAGCGTAATGCGATGAGAAAATAGTGATTTTTTCGAACAGGTGGAATCGAGATTAGTGATGTTAATATCCGGTTATACTGTAATAATTAATTGCGTCTTTCGAGAGTATTTCTCAGGCATTATCCATGTATTCAATTATCGTGAGAATATTCGAATAATTAGCTAAGTATCCGTGATTTTCGATTTCGATTATCCGGACAATCGGTCATCTCGGATGGACGAGTACCATATAGAGAGAATATTATAGTTTTCTTCTTATAGAAATTCTTTTCAATTTTGTTTATTTATTGACTTATTTATATCACTTATTTACGGGTCATTTCATTGATATAATACGCAAAATTTAGTTTATTATGAAAAAAATAAAATTAAATTAAATACACTACTCAAAAAGAACAAACTCAAATGATTGACAATAGTAACCTTGAAAGAGTGCAAAGATATGATAAAGATCAACGATATTATTGAAATTTTACCATATTTCCAGTAGTATGGGGACAGATTGCCAGTAAGGTTCATATCTTGCTAAGGAAAATAGTAGTAAAATAGTTTCGCTGGAAACATAGCAACCAATTTTGCAATAACACACATTTCAGCTCCTTAAGATATAAACAATATACTACATGAAACGAAAGAACAAGAAATTTCTGCAGAACGTCGATCTATTCCTCGCTCACGAAAGCCTAGAGCAACCTTTACAATAAAATTCTCCCGGTGTAGAATTTTAATATCGCACATCAAGTAGTGGATAAGTGTCTAGGGAGTAAAAACTAGCCGGTCTCACCGGTCGAGACGTGCATCGAAATAATTTCCATCTTGGCATTGCTCCGCGCACGGCAACGTTTCATTTCGCGGTATCGTTGCGCGAATCGAGAAAGAGGAGCTTATTTTCTCATTGGACTCCCTCGCGGCCTTCTTGGCACTGAGAGAGCCCATCCGGAAGGCGCTATTATCAGCGCTGAAGGAGAGACGCACCCTCAAAGAAATACTGCTATCAGTATCAGTTACGAGATCAGCTTTCCCATCATCTCTCCGGAGGTTTACGCGAGACGATACGTCGCAATTACCCATCCCAGCTTAACATAACTTACAATGGGACGCCGATCGCAGCCATTGGGGCGCTGATATACGACGTCCGGTCGTCGGAATCGCGCGCGCCACAAAGTGGCGCGATTGCATCTTCCTTGTTATTTTTTTTTGTTGTTGTCGCTTGCTCTTTCTCTTTTTCCCTCTGCCTCCCGCTTTTTTTTTATTTTCAATCAAACGACGCGCTGCCCGATCGACCGTTCGATCGCGACATTGTACTCGAAATCGGCCGGCATAATCTTGACGTATATTTTTCCGCCGCCGGTGGCCGGCGGCGCGCGGCGATATTCGTTAGGGGCCATTTTTAAAAATTAAATGTCCCACTTTATCGTTACGCGCGGCGATTAATAATAACGGGCGCGATCGGACGCGGGCGAGCGAGCGAGCGAGCGAGCGAGGCGGTATCTTCCATAACCTTTCCGGGGTATAAATCTGCGAAATTCTGGAATTATCAGGCGGCGGGGCATGAAAGGCTATTTCCGTCGCGCGGAATCGCGGGCAATATTTTACCGCCCGGGATTGGGGTTGAACGCGGGACACATCGACGTTTGATATTTTTATGCAGTGGCGCCACCGCGACGAGATTTACGAGGCAGATATGCGATCACAAAATGTCCAACACTAAATCAAACATGTTGCATCGGAAAACATCCGAAATTATTATTGGGACTTTTATTGGATCGACGGGAATGAAATAAACGTGTGACGTAACTTTATATTCCTCCTCCACCAACCGCCTCTTTCCCTACCCTTTCGCGCCCCCTCGCCCGCACCCCGTCTTTCTTTCCGTGCCCTTTCCGTTGCGCGTATGCGCGCGCTATATCCGTTCTCCTGCGGAATAAAAGGCTAACTTTATGATTGATTCACCTTTTTTACGAGCCTTTTTTCGTCGTACGTCAGTGTCGAAGGCGATGGATAGATCCTACGTCCTCCGTCGACATCGCGCTGTCTCGTTTCTCGAATTGAAGCGCGCGACTCCGAAAGGAACTGCGGAATTCGCTGTCGATGCGGTCAAATCAATCCGGGGGTGCGTTCGCGCCACGAGACGCGCGTCACTTCAAAGGACCTTTCCCGTTTTTATACACTCAGAGAAAAAATGGCTGGCCTAACTAAAACTAACTACGCTTATAATTATGCCCATAACTATAGTTATTTTTTGCTCCAACTATATTTTCTGTAGTAAAATAGCAGCGCGCCTAATATAAACTTCGAAATACCAACTCAAAGTACCGGCAGCCTTTTCCGCGCGCGACGAACGCGTCAGATTTCCAATAGTCTATCATTCCCCCATCGATCAATGTGCGATTCATTATTAGCCGCGAAAGGCCCAAAATGCGCAAGGCCCTTAAAATGCTGGTCTACGCTCCAGATGCTGTTTTATTTCAAACGGAATTGTCCGCCCGACGAGTCCTCTCGGATCTTCTGTCGCGAGCGAGCGAGAGGTGGCCGCTCCAGAAAACGGGTCAACCCGGGAATCAACGTCGGGGCCGCGAAAGGGTTTAATGAAAGCCGATAGAACGTCGCGCCCGCCCCCCTCTCTCTTCCCCGAGGATCCCAAAGAGCCGCGGTCATCAAGAGCCAAAGAGTCATCTGTTATTATTAATCGCGCTAATCGATTTGACGTCTGCTGGTAATGCAGCGCCGGGCGCGAGACAGAAGTGCAGTCTCTCTCGCGTGTGCAGTGCCCGCATGTCTATCTTTTATTGATGCGGCCGGCGCTGGCTGGCGCCGGCGTCC